ATGGATAACTTTTGCATGTGTGTGTGTGTGCACATATTACACTATAATACACATCGTAAGCGCCGGTAGTGTACTCGAAATTTGACGTTAAGATTGTTATTATATGCCCACTCTGATCTATTATGCTGTCACGCCGTCACGTCCGAACAATACTTGAGATATACCCCACGGGTATATACATAATGTAATAATATTCGAATACACAGAATAAGTGTTATTTGCATAAGGTTCAAACAACTAGAATACGTTGCGACACTGGTCGGTTCGAAATCAGAACGGATCTAGATACACTGGAATGATAACTTAATAACACAATAGCACATATAGGTGCACGCATCGGCTCACGTTAACGGATATGAAGCGAAATTGGTAAATTTTAGTGTTTCGCAAGTACGATATTATTACCAAGACATAACCTATTGTAATTTTGTACCCAGCTCGATTCCATATAAACGATAATGATGGAAAATATATCCGATAGACGACTCGGTAGTAATTGCATAATATTATATGTACCGGTTATCGCATACAAATAATAATAATAATAATGCATTATTTTTTTTTTTTGTTATTTATTATTATACTGTTTCTTCGTACATGCGGAAATGCGAATTTTTTTTTTAAACCAATTTTATCTGTGCAAATCTGAATGTCACGAATGCGTATTAAATGTTTATAGGACACACGCGATACCTGTTCTGTCAAAGGCATCAAGTATAATACCTATACATTAATATAATATTATCTTCTTGCCGATTTCACCGACTTTCCAACAAACGTGTGTAAATTAGCACGAAGTGCACAACAGCGCCAAAACCGGTGCACGTATAAGACTGCTGTGTACGCTTTACGTTCTGACACAGTGACCAGCTGACAGGTGGTTTTTCATTAGCACAATGTTTGTTTACATTATGATATTTTATATTATATAAAAAAAAAAAAATCGTTTTGTGATCTTTAGCAGTAGGTACGCATATGATGTATCATATGTTACATTAGTGCCATTAAAACATATACATAAAAAAAAATTCGGACTATTTATATGTAGATTTAATAGATTAATCTATTCTGTGCTTAGACGATATCGTCTGTTACAAAATATTTTATTTAGACGAACATATGTTGTAATACTTGATATAAATATTGTAATTTTTCTATAAAAAAAAAAACCATAACTACTCATTATGCAATTTCCATCGATTTTTCAGTTTATGAAAACAATGTTAAGAACAAAAATCGTTTTTTTGTTTTAAATCCAGATTTTAAAAGTTCTATCCCAAATAAGTACCCCGTAATAACAGCTATAACTAGGAAAAAACATTCACTTTGCCATAGAGATTCCATTGGTCCTATCTCTAACGTATATCTATTTCTTTTAATATGAATAAATAAATTATTAATTACATTTTAACATACTGAAATTTAAGCATATTTAAATGTATACAAATTCAAGCCATCCTAAGCAGTTTGACATACATAATGAAGTTATAAAAAACATATAGGCAGTTGCATATTTTTTTAGAGTTTACCATTTGGATGTCCTTAGTTTATTTGAAGATTTTATTTGTTTATATAATATAAAAAAACACTAAATCCTTATTTGAATCTCACGAATATTCGAATCGAATATATTATAACTATAATTTTGCTTTCTTGTAAAACGTTATAAAATTAATATGATTCGTACCAATTTTGGTACCCCGACGCTTCACGGTTACATTTTATTTAGTACACAAAGATTTGGCAAATATTTTTTTAAATGTTAAATACTCATGACCTAGACTGTATTTGAGTAACATCTGTGCAAAAAATATATAGAGCATATAAAACCTTTTTTAGGTTGGTTTTTTTTTTTATCTGCGAGTTTAGACAAATAACGTAATTTCATTTTTGTACATATATTAACCATAGTGAAAAATTGAATCTATGAAGACTATGTGTGATCGGTCACGAATAAAAAAAAATCTTTTTAAGCATGCAAGAACGTTAACACATCATAAAACCAATTACTGGCATTACAAGCAACCGCTAGACTACATAATCAGAAATGTTTATGGATCGCTTTTTTTAAAAAATAATAAGATACCGATTTTTTTTGTTTCAAAGTATAAATAATGTAGTTAACAATTCGACTAAACGTGGGCATAAACTGGTGTTTTAATGGTTCTGGTTAGTTTCTAATGACGTCACAGTTATAAAAAAACAAAACTTTTTTAAACAACTATTTAACTGCCAAAATATTTATATGAAAAGATGAACGCTCATTAAAAATCGCTCACACGATGAATATTATAGTTTTTTTTTTTTTGTACAATTTCAACTGTGAAAAATTAAATCGCATTATGAAAAATCTATAATTGTCTATAGGTACTTTTTTTGTAAAAGCATAACTTGTTTTGAACTTTTACTTTTAATAGCCGGTAAATAGCATCACATAATATAATACAACTTATATGGTAGGTACCTGTAAAGCGTGTAAATAAACGGATGATACATTTAGAATTAATTTCATTAGCGCACATACCTAATACGTATTACATGACAATTTAATCGTTTATGGGAACAAGTTTTTTTTTCCACTTTTAGTCACTGTAAAAATGATTAGAGATTAAACAATTTTTTTACAGATTATCCAACTTGTAAAGCGTACTCGAATCATAATTGTTTTTTACACAATGCCGTAACAGTAAAAATAAATCTTCAATATATTTCTTTTGAAATCGTGAACAATCAATATAATATGCTCTAGTAAATGTCAGCTAGGCTTGGATCAATATCACACTTTGGCAAAATTCAGTCGGACAATTAAAACAAAATATTCATACAATATATATATATATATATATATTGGGTGATTCTCTTTTATCATGAACTACTCATTATCTCACTAGGCCAATTTATAATTTAATTTTTTTTTTCATAGTGCTTTTATATAATGCGATATCAATTTTCCACAAATTATTATGTTTCTCTCCCCCTCCCCAGCTAGTTTTTTTTTGGTAGCAACTTATAAAACTTTTTTACAAAATCTTAATTTAAAGGTTAAACTGTGATGTGTAATTATTAGTTCAATAACTAGGACTCTATTTTGGTAGTAGTTAATTTATTTTTTGGACTATCACAGCTACCTTGAAAGCGATTTAAAAATGTTTTATTCATCTCTACACGTTTAAGCAGACTGAAAATAACTCGCTTAATTTTGGTTTTAGAGTAAAAGCACCGATTATAAAATTAAAAGAGAACAATATTCCGGAGGGCAAGACGGTGCGTTTTTTTCATTATTCCAAGCTTAACGCTCAATACATAGTTTAGAAATAACAACTATTTTAACATTTTTAAATGACTGTAACTTTTCAACAAAAAAAAAATGCACAATTTTCAGTTGGCGTAAACATGTTTTTACCACTGAATATCACCGGTGCGACGCCCTCGTAAGAGAAAATTACTGTTATAGAAACCTATATAGGCGCAGTCAAAACTATTTTGTTTTTTTAAATATTAAAAATAGAACCGATAACCGGGATATTTATTTGCATAACAACATTTACTATCTATATTAATTTGAATATAAAAAAAATTATAAATACTAAGTTAAGCTAAGAACGCACGCTGTATTTATTACTTGTAGTATGTACATAAAGTATTATTTTTAGTAGATTTTTAGTTCATTAACTTGCGTGACCAACGACTTTCCACAAAAAAAAAACATTAAGCAGTTGAAAACCCATTAAAAGGTGCTCGTTCAGGAGAGACTTCTTAAGAGAAATTGACTGTTATAGAAAATTCGTGGGAATCTACTACTTACCTATTAATCATTGATATTGGTTATTGTTTTTCCATTTAGTTTGTTGATGAAGGGGCATAGGCAATATAGTAGAAGAACGGTAGTAGTCCATATGTACAAATATGTTTAATTATATTTTGGTTTAAAAAAAATTTTAAAGGTCACTTTTTTGTTATCTGTTGTCATTTTTTAAGAACTTTAAGCACTTCCAGCCCTTTATAAAGTCGGTTACTTAAAAATAAAAATAAACATGTGTAATCTTCAACAAAAACGAGTAGGTGCCTTAGATGTACATATATCCGTCATTATTGAATTGTTTTTTTAGTCGTTATTTTTTTTTTTTCCATTAAAAGCTTACCAATACGATAAAAATAATTATTGGCCGATTATTTGACTTGAAGACATCCAGCAATAAAGAACAACGATGGAGAGAGTATTTTTATTATTTTTTACTATCATCATTGCGTTAAAAAGCGACATCAATTTAATTACAGGTATCACGGTGATGGTCAATTTAGGCCAATTATTTTATTACGAATATATATTTTTTATTCTCCTGGCCCGACGGTGTGGAAAAACGTAATCGTTTTAAACGGATCTTAATGTCGTGTATTGTTTTGTATGTAGCACAGAACGATGGTACCTACTACCATACTTTATATATATATATATACATAAATATATCTGTAAATGTTATTTTATAAGTAGACGGGTGTACAAGATGATGATGATGATAATAATAATAATAATATAAATACAAATTCGAAATAAACCAAAGAATAGAAAAATATAATATGCAATTGTCATAAGACGAAAACGATTTTTTTTTTATATATTATTATAATTGCGTTTGTATAATAAGTAATAACATCCAACGTCCTCTTGGTAGTCCTTGTGTTGATGTATTTCACGGTTTCATAAGAATTACACAGGTGCACAATTATTTATATATATATATTATGTGTGTATACAGCAGTTAAATTCCGGTGTCGGTAACGGATCGTCAAAATGAGCTCGCCATGGTATGTGCGATACTACTACTATACCGAATATAGTATCCTACGAGTATAAAATGTTTTTTTTTTTTAAATACTCGTTTATCTGATACCAGTATGGTAGTTTTTTTTTTGTAGTCCATCGTATCGACCGGATTTGTTTTTATAAGAAAATAATATAACAATAAAATAATAATGATAAAACGTTTTTTATATTTCAGGAGATTCTTCGTCTGCCATGGAAATCGACATTGATAATTTCATACAACGCGACGAGGTAAGTAGATTATTTATTTATTAGGTTTATTGTGTAAAACACAAACAGATACATTTTGGTTTTTTAGTAATAATTAGTAGTAATATTAGTAATGTATAATAAATAAATGTAGTAATGTGTATACACGAGACCTTCAGCATTTCATGGTTCACCTGTACAAAAACAAGTATTTGAATTTCCGTGTGAATTTTTTTATTTTTAACAAGTTAATGGTTAACCGTAGTATAATCTTAAATTTGCATTATAATTAGTGTTTTAATTATCACCAAAAAAAAAATCCATTTATGACGTATTTTAGGATTACTGTATTAGGTTGTTTCCAATCCTTATCTAGTTAAAAAACGGGTATTAAAAAATATTCAGCAAGATAAAATGTAAGTTAATTATACATTTTTTTTTTTCATTAAACGACATCGCATTTTGTTAATTTTGTTAAGTAAATAACTTATATAAGATGTAAAGTACATTAGGTCAATAGTATAAATGATTATATAATGATAATAAATTATTCTTAAAATAATATGAAAATATATGCTATTATAAAATATAATTATTTTTGTATTATTTGTCTCAACTATACTATATCATTGGCGTTAATTTATTTTATATTTGTGTATCTGTATAAATTATAAATTCGATTAGGAATTGTGAAATTGTAGATCCTTAAAAAAAAAATATTTAAATCAAAGTTTTAACAGATCTTTTCCGAATTAAAAATTGTAATTCTGTTAAATTTGATCTTTGGATGTTTAATATTTAACGTTCAGTTATAAAAGAGAGAGAGTGAAGGGCATGTTCTAATTAAGATTGTGTCCGATTCAGTTATTAGGCAATCGACTAATATATATTTGTTTATTCAAAAATTGTTTTATACGACGATTTAACCCAATTTTCGTTCGATGACTTGACAGTTTATACAAAACAGCTTTTATATCTTGTTTTTTTTTTTAGATTATGGTGTCATTTGTGTTGTTCTTAATTTTGCTTTCTGTTTGTTTTTAAATATTATCATGTGCGTTACGGATATTACTCGGAATTCGATCATACTCGCTGCCACTTTTACTGAGAAACCCATTTTTTTGTGGTGTACCAGTCTACTATGGTATTCTTAATCTCCCTGGAGTTGATAAAACATATATCAATAGTAGATGTTCTAAACTAAATTCATATAATATAGTGCAAAAGAAAGATAATAATATACATACTATAAGATGTATAAGATACTAATTCTAAAAATATTAAAATATTTAATTGTACATATTAATTACATTAGGTATTTTATATTTGCTTTTGTAATCCTAGTAGGCGTTTGGATTTTTTTTGGGAAAACTAAATTCGAACATTAAGTGAGGTCTGAAATATAATTTTATGGAAAAAAACAAGGCAAACTTTATGTCTATGGTTAATAACATAATAAAACAATTTTTAATAACCAGAATTTGGATCATATGTACACATCTGTACTTGTTTTACAATAAATCTTAAATTTTTTGAAACAGATGTTGAATTTTTCCCTACTGTAAAATTTGTTAAAAATCACTTGTACGGTTTAGATTCCCATTGTTTATTAATATTTTATAGTATAAAATGATCTACTGCCATCAATTACTCCAATTTATAATATGTGAACTAAATTTTTACACGCAAACTTATAATAACTATTGAAAATTGTAATTACATTTTTGCGTGGATTAAAATTATTTTTATCGTTTAAATGTACACAGCTGTGCGTAAATTGTTTTATTATATTATCTAGAAAACCATTTTTTTTTTTTATATTCAAGTTTATAAACTTATCGGTTATCAATAAACTAGTAGGCCAAGCAAACGCGTTGTTAAAGATCAACAGAGAATTTTCAATGAATAGAAAATGGTTTGGACAATCGCCTATCTAGAAATTGTAATTTTAATTTTCAATAGTCCCGTGAAGCGTTAAAGAGAAAATTTAAAGAAAACTATCAAGCGAGGAAAGAAAACAAAATGTTGTTTTCTGGAAATTAAATACCATGTGATTAGATTGGACGGGTTGAACGAACTGAACTCATCTCCGTGAGAAACAAGTTTCATAATTACCAGCTAAGAAAAAAAAAACAATGTACCGTGAAGACTATTAATTAAATGAAAAGGAAAATTATTTGCGAATAAGTAAAAATGTGTTTAATCATTATACGTCAAAAATTTGATGAATTTGTGTAAAACAAGAATGACTTATATAAGCGATAAGTAATGGCTGCAATAAAAAAATAACTATATGTAGGCTTATATAAGAGTAGTTGGAGATTAGATTAATACATAATAATAAACAAAAAACAGACAGTAAGCCTAAATGAACTTATTTGTTTAAAAAAAAAATACATTTTTTACTATTTCTATTAAAAAAACTACTTACATTTACAATTTTTCCGACGATTTACCAATATCTTATGTTTATAATTTAATTATTGAAATATACTACTAAGCGTCCGCTCTCTAAGTCTAAACTAATAAAGTTAGTGTAATAATATGATAAAGTTTAAGGTTTCTATCATGTAATTTATTTTTAACAGTTTTACAGAGTGATCAGCTATTTAACCTAAGACACTCATTTTCTCGGTAATAACTACAATTTTACAGTTTTTTTTTTAGAAAACATTTTTATTTTTGTTGTACAATACCTAAAAAATGATCAAATATTTACCTTTTTTAGTATTTACCGATATCGACTTTTAATAATCGATAAATAAATGTCAATAGACTTTTAAAGCAAATAGGTACCGTTACTACCGGCATTTTTTTTGTTTTTTGACAAAAGCATATTAGCATTGTTTGTCAACGTGGAGAATTGTAGTAAAGCATGAATTTTAATAATGAGCTTAGCATAAAACGAAGAAAGAAATATTATTCGCTATTCAACATAAGCTTTGAAACGTATAAATATTAAATATTTATATTTTTGCATTTAAAAGAATTTTGTTACAATAGACAATTATCTTATAATGGTCCAGTATTGCTATATTGAATACTGACTTGACTGTTTAGCATAAGATATTGTGTCTAAACTAGATACAATGTGTCACACTCTGGTTCACTATTGAAAGAACAACATGTGAACACGATACCTTATATAGTAACGAATGAAAAGGGTACACTAAAAATAATTTTCATAAATGTTTTTACAACAATCTTACAGTATTTCCAACGCATACGGTTATTTATTAAACATTTCATATCACATTAAAATAAAATATTTTACTACATTTGTATTGAAACCGTTTGTAATAAGTTAGCACTAAATTTAGTATTTATGATTTCGGATTCAGGAAAAAAAAAAAATAATTAGATGCATTTTTGTCTCTTTTTTCTTCAAAATCGTGTGTTTATTATTAGCTTCAGAATTATTTATTTTTAAAACCTATGTGACATCGCATTAACGCCTATATTGACTATTGCCATTGGCCACTAGAAGTAAAAGCTTTTTTAACGTGTAAAAACAAAAAATAGCTAAATAATATACATAAGTGTTGTACCCGTCAGCCGCCTAAATGGTAATCCGCTGAGCTGTTATGAACGTGGAAATGATAGTATTTTGGATCATCACGTTATTATCACTGCCATAATGGTAAATATATTTTATGGAAAGTGTAGTAGCAAAATTAAAGCCAGCGGTTAAAAACAATATGTTAATTTGCTATTATAATACACGTCTTATACACCGAATTGCCAAACGAGTTGTCAATACCGTCAAGGTATTGTGGTTTTAATATTGTGTCGTCTAATGTTTGTTTTTCATGACAATAACAACAATACTAATCGTAAATACCTACTTGATTGAATAACCGATATTTAAATAAAACCAGATTTGTTTATGTAATATTTTAAATGTCACTTGTGTGTATGCACTGCACAACAGCGACTGTAAAGGTAACTTAAAAACGATAATGAGGAAAATGAAGTAGCTACAAAATAATATTGCCTATAAAATAGGATACACTTCCGCCATACAAGTTTGACCGGATAAAATGTACATATTCGGATTTTTCAACCAAAACATTAGTGTTAAACGATTTTAAAATTTCAACACCGATAGCGACTTACCTCACACTACTAATCGTTTTTCCCCAGTCTTTTATTTATCGTATATTTTTTTTTTCTTTTCGACAAATTTGTCGAGTTTATAAGTAATATCCAGGTCTGAATATAAGTGTACACCGGATAATTGTCATTTTATTTATTCACTGTTTTAGAAACTGGAGGTGGACGCGTTGAACAATACAGGGAGAGCCAAAAGAGAGTTGATATTCTTCAACAGGGTGCCAAAAGTGGGCAGTCAGACGTTCATGGAAATCCTGAGGCTGTTGTCTTTGAAAAATAAGTTTGTGTTTTACCAAGACCACGTACAAAGGGTCGAAACCATTCGTTTGGCCGAATCTGAACAGGTTAGTCGTATTAATTATTGTTATTATTATGACCAGTCATTGCGTTCAAAACCACACATAATGATACAATGTTAAAAAATAAGCCAATACACATTAAAAAACCAGTCAATCAAAGTCTTTACCACTATTTTGAGTATTTGAATCGATAGTCCGACAGCAAAATGAATACCAATTAGAATTTTAGTTTTTCAGATAAATAATTGCCTTTAGGCTTTACCCAACTGAAAATTGTAACTAACATAACCAATATAAACGTGTTTTTGTCAATAAAAAATGAAAATTTGAAAAAATCTCACACGTGTATTGTTGTAAGTCTAATTTTCAGACCACCTAGTCCAGAAAAGGATAAGTGATGAACTTCTTCGACCGTTCTTCGATTCAATAACCAAAGAAACCTTTAAATATATACACCAGAAATACGTCTAGAAATGTTACTGAAAAAAGTATAAATAACAATACACTGACAATAGTTAATTACAGTGAGAAGAAACAGTTTCTAACCTAACCTATATATTGCTTTTGGATGTAACAATATACCTAAAAAAAATAGGCAGACGCGCCTGAACCTATTGTTTTTGTTTCTTTTTAAATGTCCAATTGTTAACTTCCAAGTCCTAATTGATTATTGTCCATTGTTTTTGAAATATACGTATGACGTTCAGTTAATTTTTTTCAAAAACTTACAACCTATGCATAAATTTGGCTCTAGCTGCTGTTGTAATAATGCTATAACAATTCGATTTCGAAGCAAGAATTTGTATGATTTTACAAGTTTTTTTTCCACTGAATAATAGGTCACTGACCCTAGTGTTCTTTAGCATTACTGATGAATATTTTTAAAATTGTCAGAGTTTTTTACGTGTTATTTTTTGTGTTTGCAAGAAAATGCTACATTAATTATGAGAAAAGTTTTGAATTCCTCTAAGGAAACACAATAAAAAACAGCTTCATATGAAATGGATAAAGATAGAAATAGAAAAAATATACTTATTTAGACGTGGAAAAAAAAAAATAGAAAATACTACCAAACGGTTGTTCCGTATAACTTTTGAGAGGATTAAAAAAAAAAATTACCAAACGTGCTAGAGCAAATCTTCGACCAGATTCGACGAAAAAATAACCATACAAATTGTACATGCGTTTATTTTGAGTCTAAAAAAATAACTCTTATTTCGTAGTACGTTGTGATGGAAAAACTAGTCAGATGCGTCGAAACTAATAGTTTTTCCAATTAATTATTGTCACGCTGTGTGTGCGGCAATAATCTTTCATAAATATTTTAACTATCATAACCGTTTGTGTAGAAAATAATTTACACACACATGTTGTTATATTATCGCTATTATTATAATATGCATAGCGTTATTGATTGTATACATATGGTGATTTATGAACGGATATTGTAGGTGTAAATATAATCGTAAATCATCACTTTCATTCGAAGACCGGAAGGTTTTTTTTATTTTTTTTTTTTTGTGATATTTTGAAGCGCCGCTCGAGTGTATACCTAATATATATATATATATATATATGGTAATCCAAATGTAGAAATAAAAAATTGCCGTAGAAAATAATATTAAAAAAAAAAATTACCCGTGCGACGTGTGGTTGACCCCAAATACAGTTATGTGCAATTGGGGGGGGGGGGGGGTCTCGTCGATGCATTGTTAGTTACTGTTTAACATACATAAGTACACGGTACCTGTATGTATAGATGCAATTAGTAATACATTTTAGATACGGTTTGCGTTAAAGTTTTTTTTATATATATTATTATTATTATTATTATTGTGATTTGTGTGAACGCCTCGTCGGTCTATATTATATTATCTGGATAGGTTAAACCGTTGATTTTTGTAATTTCATAATAAAAACAAACTGTTATGTCATATTATGTGCGGTCGGCTAATGATGTGGACATATTTTCTCTACTATGCATTATATAGTCAAGCACGCGCTCGCACACCTAACCCTTTTTTACTGTTCCTGATTTTTTTTTTTTCTTCTATTTTATTATAAAATAATATTTTTCTGTTCAAACTCGGTGTGATGCGAATTGGCGAAAAATCTCTTATTTAGATTAAAAGGTGGTTCGATTATTAATGTTATTAGGTTTAACCCAAAAAAAGCAGCACTAGTTTCTAAAGAGCTCTGGCTTTTCAGTTTAATTGAAGTTTATATTAATTTAATTTAGTTTTACGCACTTTTTGGTGGTTTTTTATCTATCATTTTATATTTATCGTTTAAAATCATGTCATCACTAATAATGTAACCTTACATTTACTCTTTAGTACTGTTTAATTGTTGAGCCAAATATTTTTTATAGCCAACTGGGGGTATCCAATACTGATAATAATATTTAATTAGTGAAAACAAAGTATACACTTTTTTATTTTGTTTTTGGCTTGTGTCCTTATAAAAATGTGCGTTTTTTTTTATTTCAGCTTCGCGTAGCTTCCATGGTGACCAAGTACGACACACCTTCAGTGTTCATAAAACACATATCGTTTTTGAATTTCACCAGGTAATAATAACATACAAATATAAACCTGGGAAGTTTTGTATTTAAATAACAAATACCTACTTATTTGCAAATAACTCGCTATTTGCTATTTTAGCCCTTTTTTTTTATATATAATCAATAAATAATATCTATAACAGGAAAAATAAAAAATGTAGATATCCTATTGTTTGGCCACTATGACAGGAGGGTTGAAATACATTTTTATTTATAACATTTATTTGATTAAACAATAATTGTCCGTTTAAATAACTGTCCAGGTTTGCGTGTATATTAAATTTTGTGCATAAAGAGGACGCCGCACGTGTCACTTTATAAGGGGTTGTGTATAGGCAATTTTTGTATTAAACGTATATTTGTTGGTATGATAACGCGAGAGATTTATTCATTTTTTTTTTTTTTTTTTTACTTAATTATAATAATCCTCAAACTCGATGACATGAAAAAAGAGCCACTCGCTTACCCCGAACATCTTGACCCCAAAAATTAAGACGGCTTAACATATTCGCTAGCTGTTGGAGAACATTTGTTGATCATGAACACACACGTCTTATGATTTTCTGTCTGTCGTCAGCCGCCGATTGTCGTATTGTTTCCATTAGAGATTTTATAGATTAAAACTCGAGATTGACTTCCGGCCAAAAGACATTTTTAATAATGTGTGTGTAAATCGTGTGTAATCGCTGCCGTTTGTATAGGTTTTATTTGCCCGAACCGATCTACATAAACCTGGTGAGGGATCCCGTGGAACGAGTGATCTCTTGGTATTATTACATCAGAGCGCCGTGGTACTACGTGGAGAGGAAACACTTGTTTCCGGACACGCCGTTGCCGGATCCGAATTGGTTGAAAAAAGTAAGCGGGGCTCAGACGGAGAATTTCATCAAAAGGGGGGGGGGGGGATTTACTTTTTTCCTCGTGAAAATTAATTTTTTGATAATTTTTTTTTTGCACAGGATTTCGAAACTTGTGTCCTGCGAGGCGACCGGGAGTGTACGTACACGCAGGGCGAGAAGAGAGAAGGCATTAGCGACCACCGGCGACAGACAATGTTCTTTTGCGGCCACGACGAAGAGTGCACGTACGCAATAACAGTGACGATGAATAGATAATAAAATAGATAAAAAGGGCCATTTTATTACAATCCCGCTACAATCCCACAGTCGTCCCAGGGCGCATGTTTTCAGGTTTTATGGACGTTAGTTCTAGAGCAAAACAATTAGAAACATCTTCATATATATTTTCGTTTGTTTCCAAAACTTGGCCACGTTTGCCAATTACTTCGTTCAATACACTCAATCAACGAACTCGGCTAAAATGTGCCTAATAATATTTTGTTGAACTTTCGTACAGCGATATGACATTTATCGACGTGCGTGACGATAAGATTGTTGATTAAATAGTAGTTGTAATCTGTGGATTTCACGTTATTTTCCCAGGTAAAAAAAAAAAAAACTACCGGTGCAATTTACATGTAATAAAATCAACCCGAAAATCAGCTTGCCTACAAATCGGTGGAATTTACAATCGCCCGTCTCGTCCCCTGCCCCTCGCCGACCTAACCTTCCACACCTTCCGGTGTCGCCGTGACTTTTAATTACAGATAGCCCAAAAAACTAATCAATCGTGTTAAATAACAAAAAAAAAATAGCCGAAAACTATTCAACTTTAACGCGAATACGTTTTCCACGCGATGACGTCAGCTGATAACGGACTAGTGATAAGAGATTGGACGAAATTCAGATTTGTCATTTGGCGATTTGATCGGTTTAAGAAGGCGTCGCACCGGCGATTTTCAGTGGTAAAAACATGTTTAAGCGGGCTGAAAATAACTCGCTTGATTTTGTAAAAGCACCAATTAAAAAAGAACAAAAAAAATTAATTATAAATTGGCCTAGTGAGATAATGAGTAGTTCATGATAAAAGAATCACCCAATATATATATATATTTATATATATATATATATATATATATTGTATGAATATTTGTTTTAATTGTCCGACTGAATTTTGCCAAAGTGTGATATTGATCCAAGCCTAGCTGACATTTACTAGAGCATATTATATTGATTGTTCACGATTTCAAAAGAAATATATTGAAGATTTATTTTTACTGTTACGGCATTGTGTAAAAAACAATTATGATTCGAGTACGCTTTACAAATTGGATAATCTGTAAAAAAATTGTTTAATCTCTAATCATTTTTACAGAAACTAAAAGTGGAAAAAAAAACTTGTTCCCATAAACGATTAAATTGTCATGTAATACGTATTAGGTGTGTGCGCTAATGAAATTAATTCTAAATGTATCATCCGTTTATTTATACGCTTTACAGGTACCTACCATATAAGTTGTATTATATTATGTGATGCTATTTACCGGCTATTAAAAGTAAAAGTTCAAAACAAGTTATGCTTTTACAAAAAAAGTACCTATAGAAAATTATAGATTTTTCATAATGCGATTTAATTTTTCACAGTTGAAATTATACAAAAAAAAAAAAAACTATAATGTTCATCGTGTGAGCGATTTTTAATGAGCGTTCATCTTTTCATATAAATATTTTGGCGGTTAAATAGTTGTTTAAAAAAGTTTTGTTTTTTTATAACTGTGACGTCATTAGAAACTAACCAGAACCATTAAAACACCAGTTTATGCCCAGCTTTTACTACTCTAATAATTAAGCGAGTTATTTTCAGACTGCTTACACGCGTAGAGATGAATAAAACATTTTTGAATCGCTTTCAAGGTAGCCGTGATAGTCCAATAAATAAATTAACTATTTCTATAAATATATTAAATATTTCTTATTGTTATTAACTAATCGCTATCACCGTGTGTGTAGACCGTTCAATTCCGAAGGAGCGTTGGAAAGGGCCAAACGATCCGTGGAGAAACATTACGCTGTAGTGGGCGTACTGGAAGACTTCAACGTCACGCTGACCGTGTTCGAGCATTACATACCGAAATTCTTCAAAGGCGCCTCCCAGGTCTATTACGGTAAACGTCGTTCGAAATCACATATCAGATACTTGTGAATAATTTTTTTAAATAAAAATTTGTTGAATAATGTATAACATCCTCATCGTATCCGATTGCAGGCGACATGGGACTGCACAAAGTCAATCACAATGCGTTCAAGCCGCAGGTCAGCGAAGCGGTCAAAGACATGGTGCGCAAGAACTTCACCAGGGAAATAGAATTCTACCAGTTTTGCCGGCAGAGACTGTACCGACAGAGGCTGGCGTTGAACTTATAGTTAACCAAAAACACATAGCATATTGGCAATATACACATATATTGAATGACAGTTCCTTACGACTTATTATTCATATTAACATAATTTAAGTTACGTCGGTAAGATAGCGCCTGTACTTATTATACATCTGAAATACTATGTTTCCTTGAGCGACATTTTAAAATTTACTCTTGGTTTCTTTTTGGCGTCGTTTACTATCGACCTCGACATTTATCTTGTATATTTTTATCTCATTAGTTTTTAAAATACGATTTGACGTTTAAACACTCTGGAATAATTTACCATCAAATCGAGTATGTATTCCAGTAATTTTAGATTTCCCTTCCAACTGTTCCCGAAAATAAATTCTCAATTATCTACATAATAATATATGAGTGTTATTTTTTTTTTTTTTTTATCGGCAGTTTCATTCGGGAACATTTGGTAAATTAAAATAATATTTATATAGTATTTTTGGTAATACAACAATACTGGAATACAGGCTTGACTTGAAACGTATTACTAAAAATACTAGTATTGTATAATAACATTTTTTTTATGTAGTATATTTAAATTTGCATTTGATAATAAAATGTGTCTTTGTAAAAAAAAAAAAAAAAAATTGTAACGTATACTATTTAACTTAAACGTATTATTTATGTTGTTATTATTAATATGTCTTATTAAAATACATGTATGTATATTGTATACGAGATAAAAACCGTTTATTTTAAAAATACTAGCGTATTCATAACTATATATATATATATACATAATATAGAATTATCAAGTCAACACAATACTATGACCATGGTTAAAATAAAATAAATTATTTACAAAGTGACTTTTGACTTTTTACGTGCTATGGCGTCTTCGACGGCTTTCAGTTGTTTCAACAGTTCCTCTCGCCTCGTCGGTACGGCACCTTTCTTCTATTCCACATTATACATACAATTAAAATAAATCCATACGAAAATATTTGTAAGTCGATTCGACAAAACGACTTTGTAACAAAATTGTTATTATATAACTTTACAAAATATGTTTTATGACTTACCCGAGGAGGAGAAGGGTTTTTAGTCGCCTCTTCTAGGTCTTCCTCCAGTGCACGTTTCTTACCTTGCATACTAGATTTTTCTAAAATTAAAAAAAAAAACAAAAATTAGAGTAAATTTTGGTTTGATACTTTGATCGGCGATCACAATCAAAGTTACCAATAACCTGGTTTTTTTTTTTTTTTTTTTAATAGCCAGATACTGTTAAGGTTTTTTGGGATCAACACCAACCATTTTCAAGGGTTAAATAAAAAAAATTACTGGCTGGGTTTGGTTTAGATAACAATGAACAGTTTACCTTTTTTAACTGGAGGAACAACAGCTGCAGATGTTTTCTTCTTAAGATTTAATTTAATTTGCTGTTTCTGAGCCTAAATAAAATTTAATGTAGTCAGTTCATTTCAGTTTTCTTTTGATAACAATATTCAGATTCAATGTTTTTACCTGATCTCGTTTTTTTATTTGTCTGTGAGTTCCGCTGCCCTCTGAAGAAGACTCTGAACCGCTAGAGTCGGACGATTCTGAAGAACTAGTTCCAGAAGCCGATTCATTACTTGATGAAGTAGATGAAGTGTGCGTACTGGATGGCGACTTTGTTTCGGCCGTTTTGTTAACAGCAAACCTGGGTGGCATCGGCATTTGGCGTGCTCTAAAAATAATAACAGTTAACTTGTTATATTGTAAACACGACGGCTCAAACTGCTTACCTTTGCATCGGCATTACCATCGGAGTCGAATTTGTAGGTGAAACAGACCACCGATTTGTTGGCACTGGCGGGTTCATTGATCGACCGGCTGATTTTTTATCAAACACATCAACGGGTGATAAATTTCTCTCTAGAAACATTTCATAAAACGATTAAAACAGAATAAAAAGAAAAATTAAAATACAAACACGCGTTTAAATAATAATGTTAACTTAAGTTTATTGTTTACCTGGTTTTCGTATTTGTTTACGGCCAGGAGACGTTTTAAATGGTATTTGTGGAGGCTTCTTTCTATTTTTTGGCATAGAATTAGACCTACCCCTTGATCGACTACGAGAGCTGTAGCTCGAAGCACTTGAACTACTACCAGACCTAAAAATGAAATTAATGTTAAATAAATAAATAATGATCCATTTTTTAAATGTTCAAGCCTCATATAAATGCTATTCCATACAATTTAAATTTTGTTAAAATTACCTCGATGATGAAAACGAAGAATGAGAAGAATATGACTTTTTTCTGCCTCTGAGTTTAGATCGACTGCCACCACCGGGTGATTTTGATCTCATCCAAGGATCGGCCCAGTCATCCCCTCTACGAGGTCGACTCAATGATCTGTCTCTTCGGTTACGATGGCCAGACGGCTGAGGACTACGAAATAAAATGAAACATATTATAACATAAAAAATATATAATATAACAAATCTAATATTATGTACCTGTATGATTTTTCGGACCTCTGTACGATTACTTCTCGGTTAGGAGGGTATTTAGGAGGTAATCCCCTGTGATGAGGTTTTAAGCCCGGGTGATAATAAGGATCGGGAGGTGCATACGGATAATATGGATTTCTCCGTGGTGCCGCATGGAAATCCATCGGATGACCAGGGAAATGTGGTAAAGGACGTCCGTGATGTGGAGGCCAATATTCTGGACGATGATGATAGAAATCGACGTGTGGCGGGATAAATTCTTCTACGTAAGCATCAGGAAGTGGAGCACGATGATGACGAGCTTCCAGATCGGATTTACTAAAACAAACAAAACATTTTAAATTTACATATCATTTAACAAAAAATAACGATTAACATTTAGGAACAATTTTTAACATGCAAAAAGTTATTGTCAATTTAAAGTACGCGCTTTGCTTACAATCTTTCAATAGGAGGACTTATTGCAGGTGGCGCCGCCGGACTCGTTGGACGTTGTGCGTAATAATCGTTTTCTTTTTCTACTTCTTCTTGATTAGATGTCAAATTCATTTTCTTTTCTTCAAAATCAATATCAGTTTCCTTTTTTTTATTGGATTTTTTCAGTATCTAAAATATTGTTGTTTGTGATATTAGAAAAATCGTAAGTCTGATATTTACAACGTTTCAATAATAATAATGTTTACCTCTTTGGCTTGACGTAATCCTCTTTCCCAAGCAGACTCAACAGGAGGTACATCATCCTTTTTAAGAGGAGCGATTGGAATTCCTGGAATCTGATAAAAATAAAGTTAACACAAAAATTGGCAATACATTAATTAATTTTCAAAAATTTACCAAAGGCCGTTCATGAGGTCGGTAAGGATCGGGAGGAAAGAATGGTAGGCCACCAGGCGGTGGAACCGGCCGTACCATTTCGAACATTGAATAATTCCCTTTGTCAGTGACGCCCGGATGCAAAAATCTAGATAGACCAATCTCGATACTTATTTTGGTCCATACATTTTTTACTAGAATATTACTCACCGACAACTCGCACCCCACGTGCACTGTCCCCTAGAGTAAAATCGACAAATGGGTCTTGGTTCTGTTTCTTCGGGTCTGTGTTCGCCTTCATCAGAAACTTCACCTTCTTCAAGCTCTTCAGGTTCTTTTTCTTCTTCGACTACACTATCTTCTTTTTCTGCCTTTGGTTCATCACATTCACCGTCTTCACCATCTTCAGCCTCGAAGTCAAGAGGCTCCTCTGGATCGTTGACGGTATTGTTTTCTATTTTAGTGTCACTGTTATCGTGGCCGTTAACTGGTATAACGTTGTCCTTGGAATTGTTGTCACAATCATACGCCCATTCTTGGTTACTTTTCTGCAAAACCAATTAACATTTTTAAAAAGCTGCATAGGAAAAATGATTGAAGAAATTATAAAACTATTTACCGGAGAAACGTTGTCCTCGTAATTTATATTATCCATCGGATCTTCATCCGACACGTCCGATAGGTCTTCAGCATAGTTAACTGGAGCTTTTTTACCCTTATCAGACGCTTGACTCCTCGACGAATTTTTAGATGATGCTTGTGACTGACTACGTCCATCGAGTGATCCAGCAACCGAAGATGCTTGACTGGAAGAACTTGATGCCGAACTCGGTCTGGGTAGCTCGTTTGTATGGTCTGGACTACAGGATCCTTCGTCAACAGGACTTTTAAATTTAGATGAGGAACTATCGGGGGATTGAGGACCTTGTTCTGGTGATTGAATTCCATTTTCTATACTTTCAGACTTAGAAGTATTATTGTCAGGACTCTGAATACCGGAATTATGACTGGAAGCTGAAGGTGAACAGCTACCAGCAGATTGTTCTCGAATAGCAGTTTCTGGCGATGCCGATCGACTAGAGTTGTTTGATTGAGAGTCATCTGAATTTGAGGAGTTGTCCGATTCCATTGGTGCACGTTGTATGCACAAATTCTAAATAAACGCAATATTTAAATCAATACATACTCTTTTAAATAAAGTAATATCAAGAGTGGAGAATTACAAATTGACAAACAAAAATGTTTGGACAATAAACGCGACAGAATTGTGTTTTAAATAGATTATTTTTGTAATAAAAATTTTTTTTCTAAAAAACAAATGATGTAGATAAGTAAATTTAAACACTTAAAAATACATAACTTATTTGAGTAAAGCATGGCCATTAATCCCGAAACTGGCCAAGCCTAAACATGACATGGTTTTTTTTTATTGATCTTACCTTCCTTTGAGGCCAACATATCGAGGTGCCGAAATATTTACCGGGAACGCACTTTTTGTCGCAAGATTTTACGGAAGAAAAGTGACTCGCGGTATTCAAGTATTTTTTTTTTTTTTATATAGACTTTACACGACACAAACTAACTGTATTTAAATGAAAAAAAAAATAAAAAAAACTATTCGGGTAACGGTTTGCCCGTATTAAAAAAGTACTTCCAATTATATTTTTTTTATAGATTGGCAGTATAAAAGTTTCGCTGAAAACTGATGAAGAGAAAGAAGATAATAAAAAATACATTATAGTATATTTTAAAAAACATGATGTTATTTTTTTAAAATAAACATGCTATTCGCGTGCCTTACACATTAAAGTGTACACGATTAGTACATATTATTTTGGAACAAATGCACTTTGAGGCATACTTTTTTTGCAACTTTTTGATTAATTAAACAATTTTTCCAATCTTGTAGTATTTTTTATGCTGATTAAAGTAAAAACTGTGTAGTTCATAAGTTGTAGCTACTTAAACTTTAAAAATAATCACTGCGGGAGACGCCCACTTCACCGTGCAGTAGTAGCGACCAGCTGTGGTCATCTAAAGAAGACGTTATAAGAGCATGTGCGAACTACTTTATGACTACTAATTTAAGTCCTTACACCTGCCAGCTCCAGGAGCTGACTCGAGTCCCTCAGGGATCTTGGTAAATATGCTAACTCACGCCTTCACTGCTAACTCCACAGAAAAAAAAAGCTTATCAAAAGGGAATAAATAAAGTTAACGGATACTGCTCTGCAAACGGTATCTGCTTAACAAGTCCAAACTGAGATTATGACACTACAAAACAGAAAGTAAACATAAATTAAAGATAGAGATATCTAGTCCACTCTACCCTACCAGAGGACTACTAATCAGCATAAAAAAAACACTAAAAGCTGGCAAATCAAAAAAGGTTTCCGTTAAAACTTTTTATTTTAATAATATAGTGCATTTATACCAGTATTTTATTTAAAGAATAAAAAAAAAAATAAAAAAGAATAAGAAGTTTAATACAAAAATAATGTCAATCGCACTTACCTTTAACGACAATTAGCCCTTCGGTGAACAGACGCTGATGTTATTACAACTAACATGAATCGTGGTCGGCTCTGCTAGTGTTCGCGCCAGACTACGATAATAATTATTGTAATAATTATTATAAGTCAATATTTATTATTCCGTTTGTTTGTTTGTGATTTTCTCAAAGAGGGACGCCTCGCGTTAAAGGAAAACACCAAACGGCCGATGAAAACGCCGAACGCACACATATCATTTGTTAAAAAAAAAAAAAACAATAACCAAAATGGCGATATGATGATATGCTGACGGAGGGGACAAGGAGCGAACTACTAGAAGGTTCGACCAGTGTAGCCGCTTGTTGTTTGTAACTCGGGTCATATTTGAATTTTATATTTTTTCAAAAAAATCATCAAAAACCCGCAGTGCTAAAAAAAAAAATTAAAACCGCGCAAGATTTACAAACAACGTCGGGATCAGATAAATATAATATTCGAATAAAAACGGTTTCTTTGGAAGTTTAACGCATTTTGTCCGATAAACAGTAAACTTGACGCGTACAATAAATAATGGCTAAACTGGTCGGTTCGTGTCGTACCTAGTGGCTAGTACCTACCATTGATTAAATACTTAATCAATGGTCCTGATGGTACTGATTTTGTTTTTATCACACTACAGAGTACAGACGGTTCGTACTTCGTTCGGATTTTATAAGTATTACATTAAAAATTCAAAAATCGTGTCCACATTAGTTTTTCGTGTAAAATGACATAAATCAAAACGCGACGTAACCAAAGTCCAAAAAAAAATTGTTGTATTTTTTGTACTTGGATTGAAAATTAACAATATTGACAATAAGAATAATAATGTGAATACAATTTTATCTCGCTTTGACGGCACACCGTACCTACAATATCTATATATGCGATAGATATTGTTGATTAGATTATAAATTGTGTTTGTTTATTATTTAAATTGTTGTCGTATTAAACAAAAAACTAAATAACGTAAGTACAAAAGACCAATAATTGTTAATCATAGGTATTTTATATTACCGTGGACGTAAGAACCGATTTAGTTTAAAATTTAGTTCGAATAGAATAGTTTCTACAGTTCTGGAACTAATCAAAACGTTTATGTTGATCCCAAACTAAGTATGTTATTATCGGTTTTTTCAATTTTTGAAACATTTCGCTATTATAGCGAAAAGTCAATATGTAACAACATAATTTTGTGTTAAGCAAAATTGTATCTGTAATGTTTAGAGACGCGAATGTACCATCATAATACTAAGAAAACGTGATTTAATGAGTTATTGATTCAAAAATATTGTTCTACATATAGCGAAAAAACTCGAATAACAACAATGATGATGTTTCTCTACATTCATAACTATGGTTTATAATGCCAGAGACCGGTGGAATTCCGGCCCATCAGTTTTTTCGATGGACGTATCAGCACGTATAACCTTTTTTATCTTGAAACTTATATGACTGATGCAAAGTGATCTTTTAAAGTGATGTACTTAATTTCTCATAGGATTTAAAAAAATTTTAATTTTAATTTTTCGTAATGTTATTATACAATGTGATATAACTACTTTTAAAGTTATTAGTATAAGTTAGGACGTGAAGAGAAGTGCGGTTGAGTAATGCACAGTTATAAATAATACTACACTTCACCTTTGTTCTCAGAGAAAACTCATGCTTATAGTGACCAAAATTGTATTTTTTTAATCTTTTGCCTTTAATATAAAAATACATTGAAATTGTATGTATATTATCATCAAGCTTAACAGGCCTTTAAGGCCTAATGCTGCCTTCATGAGATGATAGTTTCTAGACAGATTCGCTGTCCGGGACGGGTCTTCAGGCCGTCACCGGAGAGGAGGATGGCAGTTCCTTTCACCGGACGATTGCTCGCCTGGCGAATAGAGCACTTGTGACCAAGTGTCGTACTAGCGACAGTGAGCATTAAGACACTGCCGCCTAACCCACTTGACCACTCCTCCTACTATTTTATATATATTACACTTACTTGTTCGTAGTAATTTTAGGCACTTCAATATCTGGTTAGAAGTTACTGCTAGTATGGACAAGTCAATATTTATGTCTTGCTTACTTCATAAGGCTTGTACTTGAAATGAATAAGTATTCTCAATTTTAGTTTAATTATTTTTTTATTTTTCTAACAAATTAAGTAGTGTAATAAAAAATTGGATTTGCATACTTATCGACGAAAAGTTTTTTATATATTATACCTTGTCATAACCCTATTCTGGTAGACGGTATTTCAATTATGATGTAAACATTGTTTATTAGTTTTGTTTACACAATTTAACGGTATATAAGTGTTTTTTTAAATATTTTATTTAGGCTCTGCACAATAGTATTAACAGTTTATTAATTTTCAATTTACATAAAAATTATATTTTTTGTCACTTGTTTTCAGTCATACACAATGACCCACAGTTACACAGAAGATACATACAAAAACATGCTCTCGCAGTTCCGAACAAACGATTTGCAAGCATTGTTAGGTGCTTTCGGCTTTAACAGAGCAGGTCGAAAATCGGAAATCAGAGATAGAGCTGTTGAGTTGTTGAGAAATCGAGCTGTCGGCTTCAATTTAACTGCATATTTATCAAAAATTGTTGAAATTCACCGGTCGATCCAAAGTAATGATTTGAACATGATACGTAACATTTTGCCGAGCCACCCGCGACATAGTATGATGCCGATGAACATGCAGCCTCAACAAATGCAACGGTTCCCACCGCCTCAGTATTCACAACAGACAATGCATATAACTCGAGCTGGACTACCGCAAGGCATGCAGCCAATGCAAAGAACCATGTGTGGCAACAGTACCATGCAATACAATTATCAAACGGGAGCTCCACGTGGTCTAGTACCGCAGATGCTTGCTAATCCACAGAATATGGTGCTACCCGATCCAATGGGATATAACTTAAGCCCTAATAATCTTGGAAATAGTTTCAACCCTACGGCTCAACCCCAGACCAACTTCAAATTAAAAAAATTACCGTTTTACGAAGTCATCAGTGAAATAATTAAACCAACAACCATGGTTGGCCAAGAAAGATGCAGTATACCGAATCCCCCTCGAGGTATGTATAACGATAACCATAAGTGAAGATCTTGTCAAATATTATGTGGGAGGGGGAGGGCTTAGATATCTGGTGAAAGAATAACCCTTGGGGGCTTTATCTTTAAATAAATTATTTTTTTCCGGAAAGGGAGGGCTAAAGGAGAGATAAGCAGAAATGAGCATTTAATTCCTTTTTCAGTATGAAAAAATTGTATGAATTACTTTATTCATTATTAAATTATTCATGAACTATTTAAACATAATGTAGTTGCATAAAATGTAGTATATATTATTTATCTATATAGTATTAACAATAAGTAAAAATAAGTTTTACATAAGTTTTGGATAAGTGGTAAGAAAGTAAGTGGCATTGGCTAATCCAAAACTTTATTTCTAAAAATACACCTTTATTTTTGTTACATTAAAATAGTTTTAATTCACTCAAAAAAGCATATTTTTTATTGTCTATCGATGAAAAATAATAAGAAAATATTTATTAAATTATATTAGTTATTCATAATTTTTTCATTCTTGTTAGATTTATACACAATTTTACCTGTAAACCCACCATGATCTTTGCCTGTGATGATAACTAAACAATCCTTATAAATTGATCGGTTAACTGTTTTTTAATTTTTTATCCAGGCATGTGTGAATCGAATTTCAAAATCCGTTTATTGCCCGAGGATGCCACTCATATATCTATGAATCGTGATATGACCAACGGCAAGAATGAATATTTGTATCAGGTACAAATTCGAATTTGTCTCTCCGAACCAGGTCTGAATGAGATTTCGGATTTCATGCCTCTGGGTCTTCACATCCGTGTTTGCGGCAAGGTTTGCCCATTGCCGCCGACAACGCCCAACACTAGACCGGGCACCGAGGCGAGACGAACTCCTAGGCCCATTAACTGTACTCAGCTTATGAAACTCAGCCCAATCGTTGTTAACAACATAGTTATAAATTGGAACCCCGATGGGAAAACCTATGTAATAAGTTTGTACTTGGTAAAAAAGTTGACTTCGGAGATTTTATTAAAACGACTAGAAGACAAAGGTACACGAAGCGCAGAAGAAACGAAGAACAACATTATAGCAAAACTAGCTGACGTCGATCCTGATTTAGCCACTACTTCTTATCGTTTTTCATTAGTATGTCCGTTGGGTAAAATGAGAATGACGTTACCCGCTAAATCCGCTAAATGTGATCATTTACAATGTTTTGATGCGAAAATTTTCATTCTGATGAATGAGAAAAAACCAACGTGGATGTGTCCCACGTGCAGTAAACCATGTATTTACGATGACATACAAATAGAATCGTACTTCTTAGAAGTGGTGACAAGCCCCAGTCTTCCTGACGATTGTAAGGAAATAGAAATTATCGCTGACGGTACTTGGAAAGTGTACGAAGAGGAAAAAGAACCTAAGAGTTCAGGAAGCGTTCCTAATCCGAAAGAAAAGCCCATCGATTCAGTAGATTTGGACGACGACAGTGACGACGGCAACACGGACAACTCGACTATCCAAAAACCAGAAGTTAAACCAGTATCTGCAATCGCTAAGGAGTCTGAAAAATTGAAATCGGCCCTTATTGATTTGACCTTGAGCGATGAAGACGACAATGACAAACCCAGACAAGAGAACGAAGCTCAAGCAGCCGATGCAGCACAACCGGCTGTTGAAGTCACGTCAAAACCATTTGCACAAGTGCAACCTCAACAAGCAGTGACTAGTTCAGAACAAGGTGTAATAATAGAATTAGATAGCCCTTCGCCGCCATCAACGAGTCCACAACTTCCTGCTACTCCGCCGCCTCCAACTGACAATACGACCGAAGAACCCCAGTAAACGAATACTGCGTTTACCATAATACGTTTTAATTGTCATTGTGTTCATTTTTTTTAATAACTCAAACACTTCCATTTGGGTTATGTTGTTCGACAACAAAATAAAATACCATTTTGTTTTAATTACAAGATGACTGTAATCCATTAATTTTGTATCAAAAAATTTTTTTTTACCAGTATTAAGAATATAATTCAGCTTTTTCTAAAAGATAGAATGAATACTTAAAAGTTATTTCAATCTGACTTTGCAATGTATTAAATTCGACTAAAATTTCCAAAACTAATTTATATATAACTTATACTTTCGATAAATATTGGCTTAAGAAATGTATTACAGTTTTTAAATTGTAGTAATAGTTTTTATTATTATTATGAGAAGTCTTATTTCTTTTAAATGTATTTACAACAGAAAACATTTTAAATAAGTTTTTCCATGCTCTACGTACATAATATGTATAAAAAATCAAATTTACTTATATTAAGTGCTTAAGTTTGTAAATCTATTTTATTATTTTTAAACATATTTGTGATCACATTTTTTGTTGTATTATTTGTGTATATAATCTTTTTTTTTTTATTTATTATACATTTCAATAACATTAAATATGTTTTTTGAAAAAATAAAAGTATACCAATGATAATTTATTATTACTTTTGAAATTGTGAAAACAAAAATATCTCTTCTCAAAACTTGTGTAAAATGCCGCACAAATTACTGACTTTTTCTAGTGTATAACACAAAAAAGTAGACCTGTCACCTGTGACTTCTTTTTATATTTATCTAAGACATAAACAAAAAGTTTTCAAAATGCAATCGCAAGATTTTTATACTTATCTACTGACGTTGATAAATGGGGTGGATTTGAAGCAGAAGATGTGGAGACCGCTACTTTTTATTATTTTTGGCTAAGTTCTTCGATAATTTTTTTATGAAATAGCTCATATCTGAGACCGAGTTAAACCTACAAAGATGAACCGTTTTACAGTTATTTTTAATTTTCTATTTTTTTTTTTTTTAATAGTTAGATTTAAAAAAAATTTAATTTCGAATATGTCTGTCAAATATGTGTTAGTAAAAACTAAAAATTGTTTGTTATTGTTTAAAACTTTGTTTTATTTTTGTTAAACAAAAGTAAGAACACCAAACATTATTTTTAAAGAATGCAGTGAACTTAATAGTGTTAATAATTTTGGGATTATTTTATAAGCTTTTACATTTAATATTCAAATTATCCTTACCGAACAGTAATAAAAAAAATGCCTTATGCTAATCTCGTTGCTAAATGCCAATTTGTGTAAATTATGAATGAAATGTATAAATTACGTAGGCCATTTTTAAGTTTATTAATTCAATCTAGTCGAGCGTAATTGGAACAAATCACTAATAATATTTTTCATATGCGTTTTTATTCGACCATTATAAATAATTATCATTATTATTATTTTGTTAATGGAATAATATTACGAGTACTCTGTACCTATTTGTTTTTTCACCGTTTTAAGTGACATAATAATATACTTTTACAATAATAAATGCAGACTAAAAAATACGGAATTCTTTTGTTATATTTTAGTTATTCAAGTATGTTTTTATTTGAATAATTTTAATTGTTGATTTCTTGAAATAACATATTATTATCTTTTTTTTCAATTAATTCATTAAATATGTTTTGTTTTAGTTGTTGTTTGTTGGCAGACCTGTTTCCCTACAATTACCCAACCTGGTATTCAAACCAGCTGGTTGATAACTACCGCAGTCGCAACTACCAATCATCAATATCAAATTAACAATTATTTCTCGTTGGCTAATGGTCTTCTTCTTATACGGGTTAGTGATTTGCGACTCGTGCTAATAATTCACTCTTTTTTCGTTATTTAAAATACCTATTAAAATGGCCAAAAGAATTGTTCAGTCTTCTGTTAACTGGGCGGCAATCGCTGAGCGTGCACCTGAAACCGAAAAAGCTGCGTTTTTAGCTTTTAAAGCTAAGTCTGATGGATATCTGAGAAAGTATGTAAAGGTCATTCAAAGTTCATACTAATAATACAATTGAAACTTTATTTTTTTTCCCCCAAACTAAATAGAAACATGTTTGTTGATCGATTTATTATCTTTAAAAAAAAAATGTAATTTAATTTCAATATTCACAGAATGTTATCAGCACCGGCAGAGCCGCCGAAAATCGATTTTGCGAAATACAAGAGTACAATTGCTGTTGCCGGTTTGGTTGATAACTTTGAAAAGCAATATAGTGCCGTTAAAATACCATACCCAGAAGATAAATACACTGCGGCGATTATCAACGATGAGAAGAAAACGGTGAAATTACTCGTTTTAAATAGGCGTGTCTCGATTACTTATAGTTTTTTTTTGACATTTTCTTCCAGGTGCAAGAAATTGAAAAGTTTAAGGTTCAATCGGCGCAGAGCATTAAGGAAGCAGAGTTGAGAATCGAAGAAATCGGCAAACTTTTGCCTTATTCTCAAATGACATACGAAGATGCCGCTTACATTGAACCCGATTTGACTATAGACATAGATAACAAACCGTCATTCTGGCCTCACACCGAAGAGGATTACATTTTTGATGAACCAGAAGCGGCAGACAATCAACAAATCGGTGAACAGAAGAAAGTCGATGCAGGTCACTAAATTGTAACCAATTGTTTATTAGGTGTTCATTCAGTTATAATAACGTGTTTTTCATTAACTGTCTATAGAAAAGTATTTATAATATAAATTTATGATGAATGTATGTAGTTTTTTTTTTTTTTCAGTTGCTAGTGTAATGAATAAACTGCATAATTGCTAGTGTGACATCATAATTAAAGCGAATTATACAGTTGAATTAATTAAACATCATTAAATAAGATTCTGTTTCTACTGATTTCGATTTAATTTTACCCAGGATTGCATCCACGTCTAAGTTGTAATGTATTTCAGTGACTTATCTAAAAACAGCACATCTATATTTTAAAAAACTTAATCAAGAAAATCATCTGAAAATACATTTTTAAAAAACAAAATACTCTTGTCTTAATAATACATATAATTTTGTTTTATGTGTGAGAGTCATTAAAATTTTGGGAGGAGTATTGAAATTCTTACTCTTCCTCATCTTTTTTTGGATACTCTGCTATTGTATTTAATAAAAAATTACTATTACATTGAAATTTGTCTAAAACAATCACACAGAAAGATTAGGCCGAAAATATAATTCCATTTTAGATAGGGTTCACTTTATTATTAAATTTATAATTAAAATTAAATTATTCATATTTTCAAACGTTAACTTGTATATTTTACTTTTTTTACCTAGTTCTATTTTCTGTATTGTAATAGAAAATTAATTTTTATTTCTCGAAAAAATTAATTTAAACTTTTTAGGTACCTAATTATTAAATATTAATAGTAGTCCGTTGATTATATAAATTAAATGTGTGTTTTGATACAATCGAGATACATTTACTTATGAAAAAAACTTTATTTTGTTTACATTAAAAGCTGTGCTTTCATAGATTAGATTTTTAAGAATTACCTTTATCGAATATAGGCTATTAAAAAAAAAAAAAAATTACCTATGTAAAAAAATGCATGGTAAAAGATGAAGAATATTGTATTAATAACCTAGTAAGAACTGCCTTAGACGATTTAATAGGTTAAAATTTAAACTATTAATAATTTTATGAAATAATTTAATTTATTTCATTTTAATATGTCGAGTAAATAAAGGTGTATTTACTGAATGCTGAATAATTTTATATACATTTAATTTTGAATAAAATGACCTACAACTAAAAAAAAACATGGCTGCGGTTGCTTCATGCTGTCAACGCGATAACGACCAAGGCGTTTTCGAAACACTACATTTTTATCACATTAAATAAGTAGCTTTTGACTATTTTAAATCTATTTTACCTTGATTTGTGTGTGAGATATTTGGACCTATGTTTTAATGCTATTCTTTGAAAAATTGAAAATCAAGACAAACACTTCTTTGAAAATGTTTTGTTGCCTTGGAATATTGTTCAACGCGGAGGAGCTAAGAAGGTAATCGTTTTAATAATGGTGTGTTTTTTTTTTTTTTGTTTTTTTTGTATTTTCTAAGACACTGAACCGATTTCTTCATATCGGGGCAAATGTGTAGATCAGAAATCGGTAGCTGGTGAGGTATTTAAACGTTTAAAAAATTCATCTCTCTCTAGGTACTACCACTACACGAGAAATTCAGTTCACAGGAAAATAATTTCAGACACAAAAAACACATCGTTATAACATCAAAGCCGAGAAAGAAGTTTGTGTGTATTTTAATTTAACGCCTCAGTGTTAGATATTCGATCAAGTGGCAAATCTATGTAAAACCAATTATTATTACATGTTTGCCGACAACTCGAAATTCTCATTTCTAAGGTGTAGTGTAAAAATGATGTTATACTCGTTAATGGTGTTTTTTTTTTTTTTTACATTTATAAGCATCTGGCCGAGCAAACAAAATGAATCATAATAATATGTACATATCATAACCGTCAAGACTCGAGGTGTTTACTTACTGTTACAATAAGTTTATTCGTAAACAATTATTAATTAGTTATTGCTCCAATCGGATACACTTCTAGCCTTGTCCTCCTGTCTACAAACGCATAATGCATCCCTCGATCTCCCTTCTATTTTGTACTGAATTCTAAACGTGAAGTTGTTATTAAAATACATTTTTTTTTTTAAATATTTTTGACCTGTAGGTTGCCTTTGTAAATGTATTATTTTTTGTATTTAATCGCTTATTATTGTCGTGACTTTGTGTTCTTGTTTTAGTATTTAGTATTAACTATTCGTGTGTTTTAAAGTATCTTTTTTTTCCATGTGGGCTAAAGGGTCGAATATTGACTTTGTTATTAGAAAATTAGTTAGAATCCAACTATTTTTTTTTATAGTTTTTCTAATAAATCTAACTGTTAGATATATACAACAACAGTCCCACTTTAGATTTACCTCGATATAAATTTCAGACCTTAAGTCCCGAAACTAAAAAATTGAAATAAAGAATAATGAACCATTCGTTCTAGGGAAATGTTCCCAACTACTAATGTTATTAGTAGTTTAGCGAACAAGCAAGTGCGTTGATCAGAAATCGTACCCAAAAAGTACTTTTATATGCAAAACAATTAAATATAATAGGTACGTATTTCAGTAAAACTATATATAGACGTTTTACACAATATTGTTAATATTTTATATAATATTATATTATTTTTTTAATACAGTGATTTGACATTGGATAAACTAAATTAACGTGATATATATATTATTATTGCGATATTAATTAATATTATTCGGGTTCGACCGTCTAAGCAGGGTTATCACTATAACTAGTTTAAATAGCAGTTACACAACACATAAATAATAATTATAGTTATATATTACATTACACGGTATACTATAATTTTCCATATTAATTTTTAATAAACATATTTTACTATGCCATGACTCGCAGTTCTGTAATAGTACAACTTTCCAAATGGGGGGGGGGGGGGTATGAGGCATTTTAATGAAGCGAACACACAACAAAAAAAAAAAAAAACAAATATTTCAAGCAGGGTCCGGTCGTATAGGTTTAATTATTTCTTATTTAATTATATGCGGATAAGTTGTGTGTAATTTTTCTTTTGGCACGAAAAGTTGTATCTAACCAAAACACGACACAGCGTTGAAAGCGCATTGCTTCCAATAACTTCTTTTCTTCTGTAAGCCCATCATGCTTCCTCGGGCGCGGAATTTGCTGGCCATCTGTTTGGCGAACAGGTACTCGGCCAGGGCATTCTCCAGACTCTGGTAGTCGCTCTGAAACACATGATAATATTGTCAGATTGTTTAACAAATGGCGTAATGCGTGACAATATTAAAGATGTTCAGATTATTCTTGTGGAATCTACACATCAATATGCTCGCAATTAAAGAAAATCCCTATTTTTTATAAGAACTCATAATCCGTACGATGATAATTTAATTAGACGTCTTTGTTGAAGCTCCCGAAACATTCGATAAAGTGCTGGATATACTTGAATGGTAAACGACGAAGAACAGTTGAGAAGAACCGAGTCATCAGTAAGTTAGCGTGAAAATGTAGAAACTGATGATTGTGTAGGATTATGTAGACTGGCGAGGAGGGACAATGGCAAAGTTCTTTGACAGCAAGGTTTCTTCGTCCAGCGTGAAGGCAAATTGTGTGCTGGACATTGCGAACAGGATGGACGAGTAGAAAATACAAATGAGCAAATATCACAGCAAATTTTTAATATTTTTTTTACGCCGAACAGGAAGCAGGAGAAAATGCACAAAATCTAAAAATGTAGTCAAATTAACTAATCGTTAAATGTAAAACCGTTTGCTTTTTATAGTTTCAAAACAAAATGTATGCATAAATTATATTTTATACATAGGTATATATTTTTTTGAGTGCTATGGTTCTCGCGGAAACGAAAACGCACTTGTAAAGTCAACGGTGTACTCAGCTCGTTTAGAACTTGTATGTAAGCAATTTTTAAAGTTCCATCACAGCGACACACCCGTCAAGTCGATTCAAAAATGTAATTATTCGAGGGCGTATTTTTTTTTTTTTTTGTTTCAGTTCCATTCGTATGTGTGGTTTTCGAGAAGAACAAAAGGAGAAGGTACCAATATTATATTACGAAAAAAGACCCCCGACGATGGAAACAGTAAAAAATAAAATTTAAAAAAACCATTATAAAACGAATAAACAAGTTTTTTTTTGTTCTTCTTGTGCAATCAAAAAAAAAATAGAGTCTGTTTCTCCGTGTAATACGATATTCAATCATCATTTCGAAAAATATTACAATAACAATATCAATAATAATCATTATTATAATAATAATATGTATTTATCCCAAGTCGACGGTTCTGCGTATTTATCTACTTCAGTTACCATTGCGGGCAAAATGAAATGTATTGAATTACCAATTATTATACAATAAAACAACCATTTGGAAGCACATCGGTTCGGGCAAAAATTCATAATTGCTGAGATAATGCGTGTCAGTATTTTATAAAGTATAATAAATATATAATGTAAAGGCATGGACGCCGAATGTTAAAAGTGTTTTATTATTATTATTTATTAAAAATAAAACACTTGACTTTAACATAATAGTTATTACAAAAATATATGTTTCAATGGGCATTTTCTTCTTCTCGATAAACGTTAAATTATAAGTGTACCTATTGTGAGCTGATCAACAAATGATCGTTAATTAGAGGAAAACGAATAATAAAGAAAAACAACATGTCGTTAAATATAGAAAGGCAACACAATCCTAGTTAGATTGCAAATCAACACCTCGTCAATAAAAAAAAAAAAAAATACATTTATTACTTTAGACACTGATTTTAAAGCGACGAATATGATGGTGATGGGATGAAACATAAGATATCTTGAATTACCAAAGAGAAAAATAACATCAAAGTAGGTGCAATTACAGTTTGTTTGCATTTTAAAATGGAAATGTTCACTCTCTTTCTCGTATGTCATGCTGAAACTTGTACACACTTTGTACAACAACTTTCAGGTAACGTTTTCTCCTTTGGAAATACACAGGAAGAGCTGATTTAGTCATTTGCAATTTGGTTTTGCTTTTATGATTTTCTCCACAAAGTTTCAAAGCAACGTCTTACATTGAAAAAAAAAAAAGTGCACTCGCAACAAACATTCATGTACTGTACTTATTTGATGTGAACATCATAAGTATTAACACCGGGATGAAGTTTGTTGGGCAAATAATAAGCGTAAACGGGAAATGCTCTTTAAAACGATCACAGGAAGCAGTCGATTTACGGGAAAAACAATTTTTTATATAATTTTCAGCTCTGCTGAGATTATTTTTTTAATATTTTATTAAAACATCTCTATCGATATTCGCGTTTCAAATCATTTTACACGCCGTTGAAGCATATTAAGCTAAGTGGTACCTACCATATCTGCCTACCACCTTGCTACCCCCCCCTTCCCCCTCCCTAAATATTAATGTAAAATTTAATTTTTATTTATGAACATTTTAGAGTATTTTTAGAATGACGTTCAACCAATGAACGTGCTTGTATCAGTGGCCATCGTATCTAATTTGGTCATGTTCTTTCCTGTGATTACTGTTTAGATTTCCTTACTATGAGGTTTTAAAAAAAAATTTTTGGAATGAAATCGTTTTTCATAAATGGTGGCTAATGGCTGTAGAAGCTTTATTTATTTATTTCTAAATTGATAAAAAATATTTGAATGTAAAACAAAAAAAAAAAAAAAATGCTTTAGTCCTTGTAATACTTATGTTTAAGAGGTTGCCAGTTGCACGATAAAATATATCATCCCTACACATTTTTTAACTAACAACAAAATGAAACTTTTTTTTTTTTTTTTTTGTAGTCTTGAAAGACACGGTTTTGTAACTGACAGTATTGGTGTAGACACGAGACAATTTACAACTTTATTTTCATCCCTTGTTTTCCCAAAGTTTTTAAAACAACATATGTTTCCTCGATAATATATCATTTTTTTTTTTTTATTTATTAAAGAATATTTACAATCTATGCTGCAAGGCATAATAAGCAAATAGTTACATTGTTATATATACAGAGAGAGGAAATTAATTTGGTGGTATGATGAAAAGGAATTACCATATCTGATACTATAACTTCTATTTTCTAAATAAGAACGAATTATTAAGTAATATGGGGCAGGTAGAAACAATTTGAGTTTAAAGAGTAGGCCTTCATGCCATACACGGTCAAAAGCCTGGGCTACATCCAAAAATACCCCTGGACAATATTGTTTTTTTTTTCAAAAGAAGAACAAATTTCATCTGTTAGTATGTGAATTTGGTGAACAGTCGAGTGATTGGATCTAAAGCCAAATTGGGAATTAGGAATTATGTTGTGGGCATGTAATATTGGTGTTATCCTTATGAGTATAATTTTCTCAAACAATTTGGCGAGAGTTGGGAGTAAGCTGATAGGTCTATAGGAAGTAATCTCATTTTTTGATTTGTTGGGTTTGGGGATAACAGTTATTGTGGATATTTTCCATATTAATGGAAAATAAGAAATTCGCAGCATGGAGTTAAAAATATAAGTTATTAGAACAATTGTTTTTTTTGGCAAATTTTTGAGGATTTTGTTAGTTATGAGGTCATGTCCTGGCGATTTCCCTTCTTTTAATTTATTTATTAAAAATTTGATTTCACTTGGTGAGGTGTGTTTTGCAGGTAATGACATTGGAAGAGGACTATTGATAAATATGTTAAGTAAGCTTTTGGTAGTTTTCCAGAGTGAGCCATCTTTTGAGTTTAAGGACTGGTATTTTCTTTCGAAGTACTCAGTTTTGTGTTTTATTATTAATTTTTTAATAGTGTTCGTTAAGTGATTAAATATTTGTATGGATGTGTAATTGTTGTTGTTAATGATTTTTTGGAGTATTTATCCTCTTGAGTTGTCGGATATGCAACCCCATTGGGAATGTTTGGCATTAAAATCGCCCCCAGCCAAGAAGTTTGGCCCAAGGGATTTTAAAAAATCTTTTGGTTGTGTCGAAGTAATAGCAGGATGAGGGGGAAGGTAAACGGAAGATATTTTGATCGGTGTGTGATTTAATGTTGTTTGGATATTAGTTGCCTGTATAGTAGAGGTTTGGTTAATAGGGAGTAACTGTTGCTGGATTTTAGAGGGAATAATAATAGCAGATCCTGCATGAGCAGTATTGTCGGGGTGATCAGCTCTATAAACCTTAAAACCAGGGAAAAATAGTTTAGTGTTTGGTTTCCAGTGGGTTTCAGAAATAAGTGCCAGATCGATTTGTTTTTCTGATAGTAAGTTTAACAGTTCAGAATCATGTTGTTTCAAACCGTTAGCATTCCAAAGCAATATCTTTAGTACGTTTATACTTGGTTGATTACTGACCATCTTTCATACGTTTATTTTTAACTGTTGTGAGTGGTGATATGAGAGGGTTATTTGTCAATTTAAATTCAGAAATGAAGGAGGAAAGTTGTGTAGCTATATTAAACTCAGGTGGATTAATAGTTGCGTTTGGGGGTGTATTATTTGGAGCGTTGGAACGGAGATGTTGGTGGGTTTTTTGTTGATTTATTTTGATTTTTTTGATGTTTATTATTGTCGGGCGATAGGCCCGGAGAGCCGAGTCGCTTAGTGCTATCAGGAGTAATAAGTCCATCAGTATTATCGGATAGATCTGAAAAAAGCGAAAGTCGATTTGGCACGCTCTGTATACGTGACGCTTTTTTATTGTTAACGGATAGGTACTGTTTTATTATTTTCATTCATGGCGACAGGTGAATTTATCTGGTTTAAGCGGGGACCGTCCGAGCGCGGCCACGATGGCAGTATTAGCAATTAATAATATGTTAATTAAATAAATTACCAAAAAGACAATGATGAGGCTCAGAGGTGATGTAGAAATGGGATGTTCGACTAGATAATAATAACTAGATGAAATAACGGAGCACGATGTCGCATGGTCAACGATGCCGTCGATTAACCCGATAATATCACATTCAATATTTAACACTGCCTGTTTTGAAAATCTATCTTGCATAGTACATTTTAAATAATTGACGATCCCACGTGCAATGGAATCATTTTAAATAGGGTTGGGAATACTTCCTGTGTAATTTATCGCTAAAATTAATTTAAATTAAGTTACTCGTTAGCTGTCACATAATTATTTGCTTTACCAATGATTCGTATTCAATAATTTGCAACTTGTCTGGTTTTTATACTTAATTTTTTTTTTTTTAAATAGAAAGCAATTATTTTGTTGTTTTTATTGCATATTATATTCTTTACCCGAACAATAAGAAAAACACGAAAAAGGTTAGATACAGATAGGAATGAGTGTGAAAGGGAATGACAATATGAGAGTTTCGCCAAGAGCACAAAAAAACCGAGAAATAACGTTTGAGATAGTCAAGGAAAGTAAAAAAAAAGAGAGACAAATTTGCTAGTAAACCGGATAAGAAATATTATTGGCGAGGGATTAAGAAGCAGGTTGTTTGCTATTTTACTATTGCATGGCTTTGGCATGCTACTTGTCAACAGAAATAGGATTTTTAAAAATCTGTATTATTGCCAATGTTTTAAATCCTCTTGGTCGCTATTGTAACATGTTACCCGGCTGATGACCAGACACATGTTAAATAGTCGAAGTCAGTTCTTGGTGACTTGGACCAGCTTATTAAGACAATGTAGACATACAAATTTTGATTTATAAAAATGCTTATGATATTTTTATATCTCTTATATAATTAGAAAGAAAAAAAAAGAAATATTTTTAAGCTTTTTGTCCTATAGTAATAATATTATGCAATTGATAATTTTCACCTTTGGTTTCATTCCATAGTCGTTGATTATGTTGGACTCGTCGAGGTCTCGGTAATCTTCCTTGTCGTCGATTGACATAACTTCAGGAGGTCTCTCCCCCAACTCCCTTTGCAGTACTCTTTGGTCTATGGCATTGCCAAAAGCTGGCTTGAGTAGACACCCAGCCAGTAGTGTAACGGTCAACAGTAATCCAATCATTGTTATTTCGATTTGTTTGGCCATCTCTAACAATATTGTTGGCGCACCTAAAGTGAGAAACAAACGTTATTCTTCGTGAAATAAATTACAATTATTTTTAACAATAGTCCAGTCTGTGCTTAGTGATGACAATGGTCTTTAAGAAGAAGTAAAATTAAATTCCCTAGTGGTACTCTATTTACAGTTTTCATATAAATATCTTATAAAAACAAGTGTATCTTAATAAATAAAAAAAAAGGTGAATAAAACTTAATTTAATTTTGTGCATTTTATGTAATTTAGATACGTCGTTTTATAATTATGTAAACAATTGTGTGTACGTTTTTTATTTATTTATTTTTAAAATACTTAATATTTGTGTCAATTATATTATAAATTGAGCTTCAGGCGATTACGATTAGATCCATACAGCTGTTGCGAAAAATTTAAATAATGACTGTACTTTATACCATGTCTTTAATATGGCGTGATGTAAGTACTCATACATTTATATTTCAAGTAGCTTATTTATTATTTAGTATAAATCGTATAAAAAAAAAAATAAATACAAATTTGTATGTATATAAACTGTTAACGTTCAATAAAACCGAGTAATCTCGGTTAGCTTTTTATTTATTTTTTTACTACAAAATGTATTTAAAATGTACATAATACATGTCGAAACTGTTTTATACTCGCATTACAACCAATCGCGTTAGATGGAGCAGTTTTAACAATATTCATAAGGAATTTTCTGCATTATTATCAAAGTCGTTTGATCATTTGTTTTATTGTTTCGCTTTATAAAGTGTGGCTTAGAATCACTTTTTATAGCAGACAATATTGAGACAGAGTATTGTTGAAAGCACATCTAAAAAGTGCTTAAATAATTGTTGCTAAAATGACACAGTTTCACATCATATTAAAAAATTGCTTTTAGCTTTATAGGTCTGTAAAAATAGCGTGGCTTAGAAAAAGAAAAATTGCAATTATAAAATGTCAGTTAGAAGTGTGATTTATAAGACTTGCTATTTAAGTCGAGACTCATATCGTACACATTTTAATTTGAGCACTATTAGAGTTGTCAAGTTAATCGATGAAATAATAAATACTATGCGCTAGCCATAGGAAAATGCATTTAGGGCAATACCTACATTTAACCAAAGTTTTTGATGTCGAACTTCCAAAAGTGTCGATAAACTATATTATAAGGAGATTTTGGCAATTGTAAAAAGAAAGGCCCATGGCGAGGTACAAGACGTAAGCAGTATAGTCAATACAAACAGAAAAATATAATTCTACAATTTTGACAAAACAACAAGGCTTGGCACCCGAATGATTTAATGGGTGTTGTATTTGGATGATTTTAGGCAATACATGGGGGTTTCGTTGAGCTGATATAATTTTTTCGGGTTATGATGTTTTTTTTTTTAAAATCGAGTGATACATTAGTTTTGTTGTGCTTTTTAAAAATGCCAGAAAATACTCTTTCGACTGGCATATTATTTAACCCAGACATTTTTAATGGTACTGTTCGGTTTTGACGGTAGTTCACAGCGCCAGAGGTGGTCAAGTGCCGGCAACCCCTTCTGGCCTGTCCGCGTGGTCCGTCTCGTAGTCGGCTATTGTCTTTTGTTCCGATTCGAGCAGCCCGAACGAATGGATTGCGGCGGTGTCCGCTTTGTTCCACAGCACCGTACTCAGGTACTTGGAAAACAGATCAATAGTGAAAACCGTGTCGACAACGGGCGCGCACCTGTTGATATAGTAATCGAAGCCCAACTGGTCGCTGAACCAAGTGGCCGCGTCCAACGAGGACGAATCGCCGTCGTCGTCCATTGTAAACTCGTCGACTTCGCCGCCGAACGGTCTCAAATACTCGTTGACGATACCGGCCATGGCCTCGATTTGTCTGTCCAACGCGGTCGCGTTAACGTACGCCCAACGGTACGGGTTGTTCAGCGCGGCGGCTGTGTCGTCGAAAACCGGTTCCTCCTCTTTGGCGTCCACGTAGACCAGGCTGAGCGTCGACATCAGCGTGAGCGTAAACACCTCGCTGAAATCGGGCCCGGCCCGGATTCTCTGGTAAGCGTTCATATTCTTCAAGTACATCAAGTGCTTGCACGTCAACCGCAACACGACCACCCTGAGCAACGCGACGAAAACGCGGTTGTACAGCCTGCGGTACTTGAACAGGTTTTGCGGTCCGTCCACGGTCAAACTTTTCTCGTGGTATTCCGCCATCCGGCCCGTCATCGTTCCCCAGTCGACGTTCACGTTGAATTTCGTCATAAAGTTCCGCACCGTTTGGTCGTCGAAACGCGCGTAAAACCGTTCGGCTTTGGGCTGACTCCGGAACCATACGACACGCCGGTAAGCTCGGTGAAACCGATTAATGGCCATGCCGTTTTTGCTGATCACTTCGCCGATTCGACTGTTGTCGTTCGCAGAAACCGGTTGTTCGTACGCCCGGTAGTACTCCGCATACAACTCCGACCCTGCGTACGTGGGGTTGTACACCGTTTGGAAGTGACATTTCGTCGAGCAAAATTCCTCCAACATATCCGTCACGATCTTGTGCATGGTGTGCAGGGTGTGCATCCAAGCGTCGTCGATCGGTTCCAGCAACTGCTTGTACCGGCGCACGCTGGTCGCGTACACGTACGCCGTCCACATCTCGTTGACCGCGTAGATCTTGTTGCCCAGCAGATAGCCGAGCATCGTGCTGGCGGTGTCGGCGTACGACTCGACGGCGACCACCGCGTCGTCCGGATCGCTTCCGACAAACAACAAATGACACATGCGCATGTGCGTCAGAGCGTTGAACGCGAAGCTGCACCGGAGTTGGTATTTGGACTCGTCGAGCACGTCGGTCAATTCGCCGTCGGACAACAGGTTCAGCGCGCCATAGTTCAAGTCTTCCGGGCGGCGGTAAACGTCGTTGTCCACCGACTTCAGAGACACCAAGCGGTGCGACTCGAACTCGGCTCGTGCGTATCCCGTGTCGGCCAACAGCAAACACCTGGCTTGACCCACCAGGCTCCGGTGTTTCCGGTCGACGTGGGCAATACAAAATTCCATCATCAACGAAACGACCACGGCCTGGCGGAAACGTTTGAGAAACAGCAACATATTTTTCGAGTGCACGCCGTGTATATACTATATAGCTGATAACGCGAGACCTTTTCCGAATTTTAACGGTTAAAACCAATAAAGACCGTGTAAAAAATTCGCAGGCAATAGGCTCGACGTTGGTTCAAACGAAGTCACGTAATGTTTGTTTAAAAAAAAAAACGTTAAGTGCATGCGTATGTGTGTATCATTACGTAAGCTAAGAAAAACGTGTGTGTAAAATTATATTTTCTCATACAAAACGATAACTATTTTTCGTTTTGATACTACGTCATTTGTTGCGATATTTGATGTTCAGATAAAGCATACACTCGTGTGTATACGTATATTTATTCAACTGTTGAATAAGCCTAGCTTTTTCAGCAAATCAGCAAACACTCGCAAATCATTTTTAAACACCAGAAACGTTTTTTTTTTTCAATTTTGTTTAATAAAATACGAAATAATGTTCGTCTTAAGCCGATCGGGCACTGAAAACCAATTAAAAAAATAAATACAAAACAAGTTATTCTCATGACATTGAACTGCTCCACTTTAAGTACCTGGGCACTTACTATTTATCAATTAAAAATTATATAACATCATAAAATATTGCCTATATTTTATCCCTTATTAAATACCGATTTATCGTCTCTTTACCTCTTAGTAACTAATTCAAATTTTAATCGTAAGTTTAGAGATTTTCATAGTAGACTCAGTTAGTCTCTCTGTAGCTGCTATAAAATATCACTTTGTATAGTAATCCAATGCGGTTCGACAGGATGCGTTATGGTATTACTTAACTACTGTTGGTTTAGATAAATTTTAATCTAGAATCTTAAGACTTCGTTTGAACTAGATCTTCGTCAAGGAGATCGGTGTAACAAAGAACAGAAGCAGATTGTTCAGTATAAATATGGAAAATCAACAACAAGTTATTAGTACTTGTGTTTGCAACAAAACCGTTTACAAGTGTATTACTTTTATTACACAATTATGCACCGCGAGGCTTTAGCGATTAATGACTGTTTATAGGATTTAAAATGTGAAGAAAAAACAAATTCTTTTCTTGTGTTGTCGGAATTCGTGCCCAAAGGTCGTATTTCACAATCGCCATAACCGCGTAAGGTCGACCGTTTGGAATGGTATTAAAAAAATAAAATAAAAAGGCCGCGGTGTTGGCAATAAATCTAATATTTAAGTACTATCATAAGCGACGCGAGGTAAACATGGTGGTGGTAGTGTACCCATATTATATAGCCGTCGTTTGTTAATCTGTATATTTTCAGGGTATCATTTTTTTTTTTTTTTTTTAATATATCGTACTTCTCCGAACAGTACTAAACTAACTGTAATAAGCGGACCACGCACAAAAAGATGTGTTTTACAGGTCCGCCTCTAAGTACGTCTCGTTAGTTTTTTCAGCCCCAGACTCGATGTGTGTGCATGTATATATTGTAGGTATGAGCTGTGGATAATTCAGCTGCTTGTACACGTGGGCGCATGCATAATTAAAACATACAAGCGATATTACAATATTATAATCTGCACGCGGAGTAGAAAAACAAACGGCTGCTGGGATTTGACTTATATATATATATATATGTTTATTATTATAATACATTATGTTCATTAATTAAAATATTCGAAGTCGTGCCGGGCAATGCGAAACGTATTAAAGATTCGCCCGAATCCGGATTAAAATATTAAAACATGAGAATATCGTACAGTGCTTTTTTATTTTAGTTGTTCAATAGCCGCCGCTGTCACATATGCAGCATACATTATTATTTTATTATACTATATATAACATCGACCTTTAATCCACCGCGCACGTCCCCGGCATAAATTAATGAGCTTTCCGAATTAGAGCGCGTACTGCTGCACTGTCTGTGCACATATTTGTTCGTAATTATTATCATTACAATTTATACACAATTACCGAGCTCGGATCGTA